GGACGACGGCTCCGGCTCAGGACGTCCATCATTTGTCAACGTCCACGACACCGGTACACGCCCCGTGCCGCYCGGCCGCGTCGCCATGGATACGCGCGCGCGGCGGCGGCAGAGACGACCGCCGCCGCCGCCGTCGTACACGTCGATTCCACTCCGTCACGCCGCCAACGCGCACGCACACACGCACGCGGACGACCGACTGAGCGTGCAGTGCGCGCGCGCTCACGTTTTCGCTTTGTGCGGCGACGGCGGCTATACCGCCCCTAAACGTCGTCGTGTACATCGCGACGGCGCGGCGGCGGAGAGGTCGCCGCAGGAGCGAGGAGAGGTCGCGAGCGCCCGAAGACGGATTTTCACCGATTTTATTTCCATCTCCTTTATTATATTCTATAGAAATAACCCAGAGACGATTTTTTTTCCACGTACGCACGTCGGCCGCGGCCACGGCGCGATACCTCATTAAACGATATCATAATATTATTTTAACCATCATATATACACAACAATGGTATATATATATAATGAAAATAAGCGGACGCGGTTTTCGTGCGCGCGCGCGTAACCGGTTCCCGAGGATTACAACGTCAAATTTCTATCGCGCKCGGCCACGCCGACGTGTGATATGTGGTCCGGGCGGACGGCGACTACGACGTGTTCGTGTTAAGTGTCACCGCGCRTCCCGCACAGTCGCGAACGACACCGCTGCACGCCGCGCGCGTGATGATGGCTGATGTACATATTATGTACGTGCGATCTCTCATCGTCCGTTGTGTTAGGTTACGATTCGTCGCATAACATACCTACGATGCACACGGACGTGCGCGTGTGCTGCAGGTGTATGAGTATGATACCTGCAGATACATGTCGCAAGTCTACCTATATATACATACCCATATGTGTGAGCACGCAGCAGCAGCAGCAGCGATAAGATAGGACTGGTCGTTTTCGTCGGGCATCATCATATTATTATATTTATGATAAAAATGTAATAAATCCAATTGCATAAAACATATTTTATTTGCATATGTATATATATAGCGATTTTGTACACTTTCCTTATAAGATACACCTAAATTATAATAATATGTAATAATATATATATAAGAAAGAAAATACTAAACATTTTTCTCGTAATTATTATTATAATTAATATATATTATAATTATTATTATTATTTTATTATTAATCATTAATTATTATGCTTATTATGTGATTATACATTATAATATATTATAATCATCATTATTAATATTATTAATTATTATTAATTATCATTATCATATATTATATCACATTGTAAAAATTATACACAACTATAAACGTTAGGATCTATATGTACAAGTTGCTTGCTGCGCGCATTTTTCTTCCATCAAACATGTAAATCGACTTAACCAACTATATATATTATGTATAGAACATACAAAAAAAAAAAGAACACATTATACAACATGCATATACATAGTCACACACATAAACCTCCTATATGTGAAGTATACAAACACATACGCATATATGTATATATATATATATATATATATATGTATGTATATATTTGTATATCAGTTGATGTCTATATATATACCTACTGTATAATAGATACAAGTAAATCATTGTAATATGTACATAAATGTTTTTTATCATTGTTATTATTATATGTATAGCTAAAATTATAGTAAAAGACTTTTTATTACAATATTTACATTTTTTATAGGTATTATATGTAATAATATTATTCTCATATAGATAAAAACATCAAGTGTATTACTGGCACAAAAAAAAGCAATGTCTAGCACGTATTTATAATATATATATATATATATTATAAATATGTAAATTATATATATGTATATACATATATATGTATATAAAAAGAGAACAAAAAAAAATTGTAATCTAGACAACATCGTCGATGTGCGTATAGACCGCGTTATTGTTGCGATGTTGATTTTCAAAAACATAATAAAAAAAATTACCTATTACACTACGTAAATATAACAATAAAACATTATCGCGATAATAATAAAAAGTATTAAAAGTAAAAAAAAAATAGGTAGGTGAAATGTGATCGTGAATCGAGATGGGGACGTAATATTATAGAAAATAACGAATAACAATAATAATATTTCATATGTGAAAACAAAACAACAACCTATTATTTTGTATACATAATATATATTATACACTGCAGCGTTTCTTTGTATATATATATATTTTTTTTTATTTTCAAATCAAAATGAAAACCCGTCAATTTCCGTTTACCGGCCGGAACGTTATGGTTATTTTTAAGTTATTTGTCCGCGAGACACAATGTTTCGAAATATAAATCACCATTGAAATTTTTGGTAACTAAAAAAAAATTGTGTAAACAATAACAAACGAAATAAATTTCAACTTTTTCTAGACATTGTACAGATTGATATCGAAATAATCGCGAAATCATACACTATATATATATATATTATATAGGTAATAAATAAGTTTTCTCCCGGATTCTTGTAGTTATTATACAAGTCAATATAGATATTGTTACGAGGCTATTATAAGAATAATCGTAATTATCATTTTAATATTTATATGGTAATATATAAAATATAAAACATGACTAGTAGTTATAAAGTACGCGAAATATAATATTATATATATATAGTGTATTTTTTTTTTGAAAAAAAAAAAGATCCGAGAATGTACAATATATACTCAACATGTGTCATTTTGTCATTTTTTGACGACGGCAAGTTCGGGTTTCAAAATGTCGACATATTATATAAATTATTTTCTTATTACGTTTTACGTATAGTAAAGTAAAAACATGGCCAAAATGGTTAACAGCTAAACAAAATTACTGCGTACCCCGACAAAGTTCCGCGCGAATGCCGCAGATCGAGGCAGCATTGGCCTAGCCGAAGACAAAGTCATAAAAATCGAAAAAGGTCAAATGCCGTCAGTACCTATAACAGCCGTCGAGAAACGAATAATATGAAACAAAGAAAGTCGACAATATAATAATATATAGGCAATACTGCAACTATATACATATTTATGATATCATACAGGTATTGTTGTAGGTGTAATCATATAATATAGCTCGTTATGGCTATTTAAAGAGTGTGCTCTGTACATTTTTTTTTGTAATGTACGTAAGGTTCAGCTGATTACAATTCGAAACGACGCTACTACGCCCGAATTTTATCTCGTGATTTATAATAATAATAATATTGTGTAAGATTGAAAATRCCGTTTACAATAATATCGTTTTTCGAGTTGACGGGTACCTAATATGCGTACATCAAGAACTCGCATATAATACATACACATCAATGTGCTGCATACCATCATCAAAATAATATATTAGATAGCCATTGTATATATATATATATATATATATATATACACAATACGCGCGTACATTTAACATTGTCCCGCGCGGACACACATCATTACATTGTTATACATGTAATATACTTACGTACTACTATAATACACGGCTAACGTGTTTACGTCGACTAAACATTAAAAAATAAAAATAAAAATAGGTCTTAATTACAGCTAGACAATAACCGCATTACATCGTAATCAATAAAATATTACGCGTGTACGCATATTACAACATCGTATTGTCATGCACTATTATAATACATAACGTGAAATGGATCGATCGCGAGATAATATTATTATTTTGTTTAAATCGAACGTTTTCGTTTGTAAATAATAAATTATTGACAGTAATGTTTTAATTGCGACACCGGCGGCGAATTTAAAAAGGAAAAAAACAATCCGTATAGTCTTATTTTATACATAATTAAAAAAAAAAAAATCAAAATTAAAAAAAAAATAGTAATAATAATAATAATAATAATAATAAATAAAATAAAATAATAATAGCGACCAGTGAAAAAAATATACATCAGTCAACCAGATTGTTATCAATCATTGTAATGAAACACGAGTACTAGAATTCAGATTGTAATTTACGGTACTACAAATGGCCGTAGTATTGGGCCGGGTAATGATGATATTCGTTGTGATAGGCCGGGTCGCCCGGGGGTCTGTGACCTGCCGCTGCGAGCATCTGAGACTGTCCGTCCATCATGTATCCGAGACCGGCTGCCTCGGGGCTGTACGCTCCGCTGGGGCCAGCGTGCGGTGAGAATACTGAAACAAAAATAAAAAAAATAATGACAACAACGATGCAGATATTATAATATATATATATATATACAAATAAGTCACGATCGTCGCGATTTTTAGATTCCGATGGCGTTTTAATATGATGTTTTTATATAAAGTATAACGTGAATAGGTACAGTGCGGTGGTGAGGATATGACAAAGAAACCGCCACAGCGATCGCTTCACCCAAAAACGACTTTGGAATAAGGACGAAATAGTAATTTATAGCCGCTTAAAGGAAACACTACTCTACACTATATATACCATTACTATTACAACTATTACTATACTACGCAGCCTGCGGAGAGGTGAAACTCGGTCCATCCCAGAGCGAGCACTTTTTTTTTCCTTATCAGATACTGCCGGGGATTGACGGATTGCAGTCGCACAGACCCTTCGGGGTCGAGGTCCATTTTTCTTGTCCCCAAACACGAGAAGGGACCACCTCTAGCGACAAGATATATTGTTGTCCCTACATATATGTACCTATAATAATATATATATATATATATATATTCCTTGTCCACGCCACCGCCGCCACCACCACCATTACTGTGCTTCCCAATTCCCACGTATGTTCATATGCTATATACATATATATGTGTAACAACATGTGTGAACGCGATTGTTCACCTCGCCGGAGAAATTCCCGTGTAAATCGCTATTGCAGTAGTATAGAATAACTGCATAATAATAATGCACAAATACGCGTAGGTTATTTTATATCATATACTATAATATGCGCAACGATGACTACTGCTGCAACAGCAGCTGCAGTTCTTTGCAGTCGTTGTTAAAAACGTCAATTTAAAAGGCAGATATATAATATTATACGCTTAAAAGCGAAGCGAACGATACACGACGTCATGTTAACAGCCTCAAATGAAACGAAAAACAACAGAATGGGAATATATTATTAATAATAAAAAAACGGCGTTGCGAGACACTAAAAGCTTTTGTGTCGTCTGCCCTCCGTTTTGTCCACTATATAATAATAAAAATAATAACAATAATGTATTATATAATATATATTGCACAAGACGTTCTATACATTTATACACATAGTACTGCATACAGTCATATATATATATATATATATATATATATCAAAACAAAAACCAGAAAGCGACATGTACACAACAACACACAACGTTTCACACACGAGAGCATCGCCGCCGACGCCACCGCCGAGTGACGGGGCGCGAAATGCTCTTGGGAATAGAAATGATTAGGACTTCGACGGCGGAAAAGTGGAAAGCCGTGTAATCCCCCGGCGACTGATTTTTTTGAATTGCAATTTAATTGGCCCGCTATACGGACCACGACTGAGCACGAAATCAGCGTCGGTGCATCGCCATCGTCGTATAATAATTATGATGATAATAATAATAATAATAATAATAACGGAGATGATATTGTGACGTTATAATCAGTATAAAAGTCAGCTTTATAATAATGACATTTTCCTCCGGGATGGCCTCGTGTATATAGGGCTACGGCGGTGGGTCCTGATGACGCAAAAATATCATCGCCAGCAAAATCTAACGGTTCTAAATAGTCGTCGCGGTTATAAACCAGCGAGTAAAAGTTTCTCCCTCGTTTTCACGAAGCACCCCGTGTGCAAACACGGTAATGGATATTAACAGAGATTACTCTTAACACCACCCCACACTGCAGTTATATATCTAAGATGTACTTGCACGCTCGCGCTGTAGTAGCTGCACAGCATTATTGTCCCTCAATCCTCGCYATCCCTATTATAGATATCGTTGTGCCTACAATATTCTTTTCGACTTCTATGCTTTAACCGTATATTATATACAACTACTCCGATTACCGGCACCACTAGCCTCCACCCACGGTTGCACTCAGATTATATTCACTTTCGTATTATATATTAGATCGTATATATCGTAAAATTATTATATGCCAAATGATGCGTACGTTTGGTACTTGGTTAAGGCTTTCGAAAAGTTTCGAGAACATTTTTTTTTCACGAGATGTGGCGCGACAAAAAATGTTTCAAATATATGATGACGATGATGATGCGTCCAAATTACGCGAAAAGAGTTTGTGAGCTATGTACCGAAATAAAAGGGGTCGAAGCATTTTCAAAACGTCCGAGGAAATGTTATCGTGTCGGGAGTGAACGGCTATATATATACGCTAGCAGGGTTGATGAGGCGGAACAGCACTGTTTGGTGGTTTTTATATCCGGTACGCATTTATTTCTTTTCTTCGTAAAACGTATAAAATAATGTCGGTCGTAATATATATATAATATATATATATAYATGAGGGGTGGAAAAACTTGGACGGGAGGTCGGACCAACGAAACTTGTCTTGTTAAAGCTTTCGGGAGATTTCTTTTTCGAATACTACCGGAAATATAGAATCGAGGCCCTTTTATACTGAGCATGGCTAAGGGGTCAGAGTATATTAGAATTTTTATACTATGATCGACTTCGACGTAACGCTTGAGTTTACAAGTTATTACGCATTATATTATATCCGTGTAAAAAGCTATACTAGGTCTTTTTTTTTCATTCTTATTCCGCACACACGTCGAGTGACTTTCGAAATCCGTCCATATAGGCCCGAAGAGTAAAAAAAAAAGAAAACACGCATACGGGACGACGCGTATATCATCATACAATATATTATATATAATGCGACTTAACTATCCATACATGATATTATATAAATGTAAAAGCGCGCTACATAAGTCTATATTTATAATRGTTAAAATACCTATATATGTCACAGTGCGACCCTTTTCTCGGCCACGGTCTAACGTCAATGATTCGGGATTAAAACAGATAYAACATAAAGTGGTATAGCATAATAACGGACGCACGAGTGGTCGGTTTATAGTCTGTTTGACCGTATAACTGTTTCTCGGTGGTTGCACGATGCACATTTACGTATATACATACGCACTGCACGGGAACTGAGAGACCGCCGAGTGCAGCTATACAGGGGCAAATAAAAACAAAAGTGTCGTATAAAGGCAATTTGCTGCTAATAAAATTAAAACGATCGTGCGCGCCGTGGTGAGAGGAGACGACAATCATCAAAAAAAAGGGTCTAGATGACTTGCAGTAAAAATAAAATTTCCATTAAACGGGAATAAAACGGTAACCGGGTCGGTGAGCGGGAGAGGGTGCACGAAAATCAAGCATGTCGTAACAAGTTTATCGCGCCATAAAACCCCTCGAAATTGCCAGTCAAAAGTTGTGTGCCACCGTCTCGGAATAGCCGTAAAACCTTGCGGAAAACGGCGGTACAAGGCTGCGCGAGGGGAGGGGGGCGAAGAAAATGCGCACGAGAGAGTGAGAGGGAAAAAACCTGGGCTGGAAAATTCGCGTAATTGGACCTGAGGTGCATCGCGGAAAACATTACAATTTGCCGCCACCGCCGCGCGTTTACGACCCCCCGCGAATAGTCGTTCTGCTTTACGACGACGACGGTTCTTCTACATAGGTATATATAATATACATACACACACACACACACACACACACACACACACACACACACACACGCATATACACAGTTTCACTGCCACCTGATTCAAACGATTTACCGCGTATCTTGTGAACAACGACGACTATATCGCGACGGGGGAAACAGAAAAAAAAGAATCCGAAACAAAAACTTTTGCGGTATAACAATTACGACGTTTTAGCGCCGCCGCAAACGACATTGTTATAAAATGATACACCATGATGATAATAACACAGTCAAGTCGCGATAACTCAAAAAACTTGACAACTCGATTTTTTTTCCCCCTAGAAAATTCTTCACTTATTGATTAATTAGATATCTCGAATAATACGTATCTCAAAGCGAGTTCAACTTCGAGTTACAGCGACTCGACTATATTATTTACAATAAATGATTTAGAGAATGAAATAATAATATAAATATACATATAGGTACAATAGCCATCRTATATCTACATAAGAGTATAATATAATATTAAATTACATTATTGTTTTGAACACTTACCGGCTCGGTTAGATTGATCGATCATAGGTTGCACTATTCTCCGTCGAGCGTTTATAAACCTGCAAAAACAAACAAAAAAACAAGCTCGTTAGGTATATAATATGTAAATAATTTAATGGTGGATATATATTGAATGGGATTAGAATATCACTGCAGCATCGAGCAGGGGCATAATTAAGGGGGGATGAGCGGGATAGATTCCCGCTCAAAACTTTTATTTCACTGCTAACATTTTTATATTTGGTGGGGTGGGGTATAAGAGGTTTATAGATTTTGATAAGAACATCTAATATCCCCCCCCAAAAAAAAAATCCAAATTCCTTATTCCTAATCACACCGGTATCGAGCTGCGTTAATCAGTATAATATTATGGTTTTCAAAGCACAAAAAATTTCAAATTACGTCTCATTGATATCAATACGGTTTTAATCGTTAATAGATTATACACCGTATATTATATAACATATATATATATATTATATAGTTTACGAAAATCTTTTTTAGTCTTTCAATATCGATTACCGCCATCCGAAAACACACACCGCGAAGCAGACGTAATTCAATACACATTATATTATAAAAATAATAATGTCTATATACGCGCGTAGTTCGGTCGATAACTCGTCATTGTCGTTTGTCTCAAATTACGCGCACACACATATAATATGCATAATAATATATATATATATATATATATATATGTATAATATATATAATAATACATTAATACACGATTGTGCGTACGCGTATTACATTTTGTACCGATGAATCGGTTTTCGTTTAATACTCTGCACAGTGTTATTAAATTTATAGAAAGCGCGGGTCTGCATGTGTGTGCTGCGACGCATAATATACCTACACTACGCGCTAAGCAGTCGCCTGCGCGCGCGGAAGAAAACCCGAAAATAAGGGTCGAAATATAATATGCGTTTAAATGTATTTTTGCCGATTAGAGACGTTGTAAATAGCGTTTGTGGGTGGAAGAGAGGGATGGGGGGGTGCACCAGTAGGAGAAGTCGTTACAAACACCCGGTGCACATAACTCGATAGTTCTGACCTAACAACCCCGACCTGACATATGACCCGACCCCCATCAACGCGCCTGTAACAGCTGTTCGCTTGACGCCTAATTTTCCGGCCCTTTTTATTTCTTTAATATTTCGATTCGCGTATATTTAATGTAGGTACATACATATATATGTATGTACATTAAATATATATATATATAATAACGAAAGAGAGAATCATATTCGAGGGCTCCGTCACTGCAGCGCGCAACATAACCTAGCTGCAACAGATTATAACTCTCGAGCGATCGGCACTTCTGCTGCACTCCGGTTAAAAAGGCGTTTATGCATATATAATAGAGTTTTATTATATTAAAACAATTGGCGTGGGCGACTGTGGAGGAGAAGAAGTCTTGCGACGCTCATCTGCAGCAGTTCGTCGTTATATTCAGCGATCGAGCTTAAGCAGGAAAACGTAAATCGACATAAATCTCCGGAACGCGAATTCTATAATACCGGTGTTGGGTGTGTATATATATATATATAAATAAATTTAGCGCGAGCAGAGAAATCCGATCGTYCTTTTATCGTGTTAATTCGTCGGACAAGTCGATGTCTTTTTAATCCTCACCCGCGACGACTGCAGGAGCCCCAGCTATATTCGCTCTCCTGTCTCATAATGTACGCCGCCTTATATACATGATATACCCACGCATTAAGGGTGTTGAAAAAAAAATTTGTCATTAGCGGGGCAAAAGTATTCGTCCAACTCCATTATCACGCGTTTTGCATTAATTGCAAAATCAATAGTCTCCCCTCCCTCTTATTTGGTTCTCTTATCAGATTAAAAAAAAAAAAAATAATAGTAATAATAATAATCTCGGAAGTGCAAGCCTGTTCCTCGCGAAAAGCGCAACTCCTCATTCCGAACGCGAACGAAACGCCATTGCGATGGTTTTTTTTTATAATATGCTTCTACAAATATACACAACAATTACCTAATAAATCATCAACTCTATTGCTGGCATAATTTTGACTATACCTACATGATTATCATTCATTTAGAATGTCCATAAATTGCTGTGTATATTATGTCGGGGTATTATATGAATTTTACGATTTTGTATTAAAGGTATACATAATATTATARCATTAGTGAATAAACAAATCAAATTATAGTATAACATTCAAAAGAGTATTTTCAGAGACGCTATGGAGAATTAATTCTATGCGATTTTACACCCTATATATACATAGATGCTTGTCTTTTTTTTTTTTGAATAAATAAGTTATTTAAAGCGTGACTCGGGCGATTACAGTACCTACAATTATTAATGATCATTGTCATTGAGGAATCGACATAAGCGCTGTCCTAATCGCTGTTTTTAAATTACAATATTTACATTTTAATTACATTAGTCAAGTAACACGAACAACGAACTGATGAATTAATTTTCACTATTTATATATATATATATATATATATATATATAATATGTGTGTGTGTGTGTGTTTAAAATAATAATAATAATTTATACTTATTTTTTATGTGGATAAATAATTATTAACATCTCGAGTTTATAAGCGGTTGTCGATGGTTAAAAACACAATTCACGATATAATTATAGTGGTGTTCATGTGTGAAAAAAAACAACAATAATTATATAGTAAATAGTAAATTAATAGCAATAGTAAACTGTATTTATAATAATGATAATAATATACTAYTGCAACCGTATAGATATATAACACACACACAAACACACATCTTTTTTAACACCACATGCTTAAATATATATATTTAATAGAGGAACATATGTTTTACGTGACRATACATACTTGTAGGTAGGTAAATAATAAATAACTAGAATAGACAATATGGGAATAGTTTTTTATGCCCATTTTCTCACGTAATCAATAGTTCATTTGAAAAAGTGAGTGTATGGGTGATGGGTGTGTGTGTGTGTATTATACAAGAAGGAAAAATTGATTTCGTGCCACACGCGATTTCTGTAATATGGCCAACTCGACGTGTATATACTGGTATTATAGGTATTGTAATATACTAACGACAACAGCGGGTCATATATTTGATTAATGATTCTCACAGTAACTTCTATACTATCTACTATATTATATACACGTACGGGTAGGAATATTTTTATTTTTTTTGATACGACCATAATAATTTTCATCATCCTATAGTCTCTCTCGCTCACAACGTTTATTTTATTCGTGAGTACCTAATATACAAATATATATATAATATACAATTATGTATGAGGTACAACATTGTTGCAGACTTGCAGTACCTCCTCATTAGTGCCACACGCATGCTTATATTTTGTAAATYGTATATATATTATATATAAATTCCGCCGCGGGTACGCGCATTTTAATTGGTTGTCGTATTCCCGAAATTATAACGTTTAACAATTTGAAAACCAACGTTGATTTTTTTTCTTTTTGCAGTTTAATATAAACGTTTGGTCCTATAATACTATGCACGAGTCTAATAACACACATATACCCACTAAAGCTTATTAGCTGTTCATTATTACACGAAATTGAATACTTGACAACGCGCGTGCACACATATATACACACTATACACAAGTCGTATACTTAAACGTATGTATATATATATATATAATATTGTATACATGATAACATTGCATTTATATTTATACATATATATATATATATATATATATATATATGTGTGTGTGTGTGTGTGTGTGTGTACGTGTATAATTATTATACATGCGTTGATAACTGGCACGACCGCGTTGATGGTATATCGTGATGACGTGTATATATTTGACTAATGTCGTATTACTATTATTATTATTACAGATGGGTGGTTGTCGGAAATCGAGAATGTGTGAAACATATATAATATTAGATATTATTATTACTATTATTGTAATGACGTGTACCTTTCACGCGAGATATATTATAATATGTGTACGCGAGATCGTTCGTCGCACGCATATATATATATATATATTACTATCGCGCCCGCACGCACACTGCACCGCACGACCGACCGCGGGCGCGTCTCGAACGCATTGTCGGTATTATATATATATACGAGATTAGCGTTTAGGCCTCGGTATATCTTAGACAGAAATTGGAAAATAAATCCAGCCATAAACAAGAGGGTAATCTCCGGGTCTCAACTCGACTCCGACCGGCCAGATATGGAAAACGACATCTACCACCGCCACCACCCTCTTTGGCTATATACCGCCGCCGTCCAAAACGACCATATATACCATTCACCCTCCGACCCACATATAATATGCATAATAATATATATATATATATATATATATATATATGT